GGGGGCACAGCTGGCTCTGCCTCTAGATAGGCAGAGCCAGCTGTCAATCATGCAGCTGGGTGGATCTCGACAGTAATGTCGGGATCCGCTCTGGCTGCGGCGTCTCAGTATATAGGGAGCTGTAGCTCGCTATATACTGAGCTTTGGGCGACGAGAGGACGCTAGTACAGGTGAAACTGGAATAATTAGAATATGGTGCAAAGTTCATTTATTTCACTAATGCAACTTATGCGGTGAAACTAATATATGAGAGAGACTCATTACATGCAAAGCGAGATAATTCAAGCCGTGATTTGTCATCATTGTGATGATTATGGCTTACAGCTCATGAAAACCCCAAGAACCCCAAATCCACAACCTCAGAAAAGTAGATTGTTACATGCAATCCATAAAACACGGATTGTACATAGAACAATATCGGACCTCTGAGAAGTACAAGCATGCATATGTACTCAGTACTTGGTTTGGGCCCCTTTTGCAGCACTTACTGCAATTACTTTTGCACGATATTCTAATTATTCGAGTTTCACCTGTATATGTCCCCCCATGACCCTTAGAAGAACTATGGGGAAAAACACTGACCCCATAGTTCTCTTTTAATTAATACTTACCGGTCTTGTTCTTCCAGCGGCCGGTGACTGGGTAATGAAAGGAGAAGCAGCAGACTGATGAGCTCATCTCCCTGTCACTCTGCTCTCTCCTTCTTGCACTGCTGCGAACCTGATTGGGTCCTTGTGCTGCTTCTCCTTCCCCCATTTCGAGCTCTGCTGTACAGCGACTGGGAGGCCGGCGCTTGAATTTCCGAGTATGTTTAACGATGTAATAATAAATAGAGAGCTGCATTAATCTGCGTCTTTTCCACCTGCCGGGACTTCGGCTTTAATCTGCATTATTCTTCTGTAGACAAATACACGTTCTAGTCGGAACAGGTTACGGAAAACAATACAGTTGAAGCGTACAAATATATAATGAACATCTCAGCGTAAGATGTGAAGGATGAATGCTGCGATAGTGCTCATTAAACATTGAGCTTCCTGCTGTGTTCCCCCGCATTAGGTGACGGCCGAATTGGACGCCTGGAACGAGGATCTCCTCCGGCAGATGAACGACTTTAATACAGAAGATCTGAATTTGGCGGAGCAGCGGCTGCAGCGTCACAAGGAAAGGAAATTAGCCATGAACAACATGACCTTCGAGGTGATCCAGCAGGGTCAGGACCTCCACCAGTACATCATGGAGGTTCAAGCGTCAGGTGAGTGCGTCTCTGCTGGTATGATGCAGACAAGCCGTCCTTCAGCAAAATCAAAGGGAACCTAAAAAAAAAAATATGGCAGCTTCCAACGCCGGCTTTGCTTTGAGTTGGTTGTCATCCACATCCTTGCGTCACTACTTTGTAAGCCATTGACGAGGAACAAGTATGCTTCCAATGAAGTCTGAACTCCTGTACTGGCTAAGTTACTCATTAAGGATGAAGATGGCAGCCCCAGAGCCTGAATATACCAACATCTGTCCTAACACTAAATTCTTAGTCCTAAACCCTCTCCCTAATGGCTTAACCCAGCCTACTGCCCTAAACCTTACCACCCTAAACCTAACACCATCCAAAACATTTTCCCTGAACTGTATCCTAACCTTAGCAATAACCTTCCCGCTAACCTTGACTTTCACTCTATAAACCCAAATCATTATAACCCCAACTTGAAGCCTAACCCCCTAACCTCAACTTCTAACCCTATCACTCGCTCTAATACTAACCTCAACCCAAACCTAGCCTCAACCCTTTTAAAGCCCTAACCCTTAACTGTGACCCTATCCAAACCCCCAACCCTAAACCGAACAATAACCATATATCTAAGCTAAATCTATCACTAGATCCAACCCTACACCTAAACCTATCCAAACCCCCAACCTTAAACCTTACAATACCCTTATCTCTAAGCTAACTATATAACTAGATCTAACCCTACACCTAACCCTATCCAAACCCTCAACCCTAACCTTAACCCTAAACTAACTCTATTGCTAGATCTCACCCTACACCTAACCCTATCCAAACCCTAACCTTAACCCTAAACTAACTCTATTGCTAGATCTCACCCTACACCTAACCCTATACAAGCCCTCAACTCTAACCTTAACCCTAAGCCTTACAATAACCTTATCTCTAAGCTAAATCTATTGCTAGATCTCACCCTACACCTAACCCTATCCAAACTTTCAACCCCAACCTTAACCCTAAGCCTTACAATAACCTTATCCATACACGAACGCTACTGCTAGATCTAACCCAACATTTAACCTATCCATACCCTCAACCCTAAACCTTATAATAACCTTATCTCTAAGCTAAATCTACCACTAGATCCAATCCTACACCTAACCCTATCCAAACCTTCAACCCTAACCTTAACCCTAAACTAACTCTAATGCTAGATCTCACCCTACACCTAACCCTATCCAAGCCCTCAACTCTAACCTTAACCCTAAGCCTTACAATAACCTTATCTCTAAGCTTAATCTATCACTAGATCCAACTCTACACCTAACCCTATCCTAACCCCCAACCCTAACCTTAACCCTAAACCTTACAATAACCTTATCCCTAAACTACTTAGGGTTAAGGTTAGGGTTGATGGCTTGGATAGGGTTAGGTGTAGGGTTAGATCTAGTGATAGAGTTAGCTTAGAGATGAGGTTATTGTAAGGTTTAGGGTATAGCCCTAACCCTCTACTGATAGATCTAACCCAACATTTAACCTATCCAAACAGTCAACCCTAACCTTAACCCTATTGATAGATATAACCCTACACCTAACCCTATCCAAACCTTCAACCCTAACTCCAACCATAACAATTATCCTAAACTGTTATGCTAAACCTTACCGTACCTCTAATCCATAAAAACATCCTAGGATCCCTTTTATGCAATGACCTTAACTCCACCCCTAACTAAAACTGTAATCCTGCCAACCTCTTACCTTAACCCCTAGTCCTTACCCCAGCAGCATCCAATCCCTTAACCCTAACCAAAAATCTTCAATTCCCTGGTAAACCTTTACCCCTGACTCGTTCTCCTAACCCCTAACCTTTACCCTGACAAAAAAACCCTCAACCATAACCCTTCCTACGACAATAACCGTATCCATCCCCTTAATTCTAAGTCCAACTTCATTGAAACCTCAACTCTGACTCCAACCGTATCATGGTGGTGATTGGACATAATACTGTAGAGATGGGGGGAGGGGGAGACCTAAGCCCTCGTTCACACCTGAACGTTTTGTAGCGCGTTCTACGCTCGACGAACGCTCTACAAAATGCTCAAACATCTAAATCCCATTGTATTCAATGGTCTCGTTCCCACCTTGGCGTCTTTCCGCCCGTCCCTAACGCGCTACAAAACGGCTCACACCTGAAAAGGTACATGTACTACTTTGGGCCGTTTTGTTGCGCGTTTCCATTGGGATACAGCCAAGTAGCCTTCGGAAACGCGCGATGGACGCGCAACTCTTTAATCGCGGTAAAAAACCGTGTGACGGTCGCGCATATGCAATACGCCTAGGTGTGAACGAGACCTTACTGAAGCTGTAGGATAAGATGACCTCCTTGGGTGGATGTTCTTTCTTTGTGTCTTCAGGAATCGAGCTGATCTGTGAGAAGGACATAGACCTGGCCACCCAGGTTCAGGAGCTGTTGGAGTTCCTCCACGAGAAGCAGCATGAACTGGACCTGAACGCTGATCAGACCCACAAACGCCTGGAACAATGTCTGCAGCTCCGCCACCTCCAGGCCGAGGTCAAGCAGGTGAGATGAACACTCCGACCCCGAGTGCTGCGTGCCGACGTTCACAGCCTAAAATGCAGAATTATTTATGTGAAAACATTTCTATCGACATGCACCAATGTCTGTCTGTGGTCCTATGTCGGCACCAAGCTGGAGATATTTGCCACATTGTATCAGTTCCTTGTACAATATTTTATCCTGTAGTGAACTGACAACGCTGCCTTTTGCCGCACTGAAATCCCAAGCAGTGTTGTCAGCTATGCTCCGTTCCCCTCTGCTGGACAACAGAACCCCGTCCACTCAATGTTATGGAGAGGGGAAAGGATTATGAAGTTGAATACAGCGTAATGAGTCCAGTAGTCCAGCATGGAAGAACTGGGCATGACTGACAACACGGCTTGGGATTTCAGTGCAACGGAGGCTGTGTATTGTCAGTAAGGACGGGCTCGGGCGTGTTCTCAGCTCCACGTGCCGAGCCCGCCAGGAAGCTGACAGCGCAGCGGCGCCAATCACAGGCACTGAGACATTTCGCGATCTCTGCCGCTGCGGACCTGGAAAATGTCTCCGTGCCTGTGATTGGCGCTGTCGGTTTCCTGGCGGGCTCGGCACGTGGAG